TGATCTGCTTACTTAGTTTGACAAGAAGCCTGTTCTTTTAGAATAGGTTAGTGACACACAAAGGCAGGTTGCAGTTAAGCAACACCAGACTACAGTGTGACTTTACTCTGAGTTCATTTAAATAAATGAATGCCAGGCCTCTGGACCTCTTTAACAAATATTTCCAATATGTGCACAAAAGCTGAAGTAACAGGAAGTTAAGACTTCAGTTCCTGGGCTCCACACCAGCTGATTATTTCACTGCTGCAAACCACGTTTGCTGCTGTCAGGACTGTTTTCATTAAAACTCTCCCTCCGGATTGTGGCTCAACTTGGAAAAACAAAAAGACTTTTTCCACGTTACTCATTTCCTATTGTAACAGAGCTTTTGAAAAGTTTCCCGGTTACGACTTGTTTCCAAACGTCTTGCTTTGCTTACCTTTTAAAAAATGTGGTGGGGGACGGTGCGGGGATCACAAGCCTCTTGTAGTTCATCCACATACAAGGAAATATTTAGAGAGCCTCAAGATGGCCTATGAATCCCACAGCTCTAAAAAGACATCTTTTCTTAATAGGAACTCGGGGTGGAGGAAGTGGGGGATGTGGGGAAGGCCAGAGAGAGAGAGATTGTTTACCTGGACTTGGGGGAAAAAAAATCTGAAAGATACTAGAAAGGAATCTACAAATAAGAATAACCGAAAGAGAAGTTACAGCATATGATCAGAAAAAGTAAATCTAACCTAACAAATTTCCTGACCAGTTTCTCAGAAGATGCGACACGAATAGTACTTAACACCCCAGGCACTAACTCCCAAGTGCGCTAGGCTGGACCCTGACACACAGCAACTCTGAAACAAGAATTCCACATTGTTACAGGCACTGAAAGAAAAAAGACTTCGGGGATTTTCTTCAGTGAACCTACCTTCTGCTTGTTTTAAAGTCGTCTGGGGAGATCTTTTGAGCATCGGCCGCTTTCTAAGACGAGCCACTATTATCACAAGCCAATCCTATCAAGTCCCGGGCTGTACCAGAGAGTTTAAGGCGCTTTTGTTTTCACGAAGACTTGAAAAGGTTTTCAGAGACTTACACAAAACAGACAGTCTACCTCTACAAGCCAGGAGGAGGGACAGAGTTCTTGCAGGGTCCGGCGGGGGCGACTCCGGACGCCGGCCCCCCGCACGGTAGTCTTAGGCGTGAGGGTGCGGGTCGGGGGCCGGGACGGCGAGGGCGCGCCCAGGGCCCGGCAGGGGGAGGGGGCGGCGCGAGCACCGCCACGAGCTTTTGTTCCTGCGAGCTCCTCAGCCCCACTGCAGCCCGCCCTGCAACCTACAAGTTAGCGAGCCGGAGAACTTCGGAGTTTCAGATTACCAGAAACTAGAAACGAGGCGGTGAATCTCAACACCGAGTGGTCTGCCCACCCCACAAAATCTGCCAGGAAAACCTAAAAAGGGAAAGAAACCTGGGCAACCTCTGCAATCTCCGCTCCCCCGCAGGGGCTCCCAACCAGCCGCAAAGTTTCCCCTCCAGCACGTCACCTTTCATTGTTTCCACGAGCCTGCGCTCAGTAGTAGGCCCTTGAGCGCCCGGGGCTGCTGACAGGCCGGCGGGTCTCAGTCTCGGGGTGGGGGTATGCCTAGGAGTCCCAAGTGGGGAGCGCCAGGGAGGGCGAGGAGCGCTGGGGTTAGGGATGAGGAGAGCCTGCGGGGCGGGGACCCCGAGTGCTGCACCCCGGGGACTAATCACGGCCAGCTTCACGGGAGCCCGAACAATGGGGGGAGCCCGCCCCCGGCGGAAACCAGCTTTGCTTTCGGCTCTTAGGAATCACTCCTCAGAAACACCTCCCCCCTGCCACGCACCCCAGTCAGTTTCACTAGGCGAAAAAACGCCTTCCAGTAAGACCCAGACCTGTCAGTCCTGCCCGAGTTGACACGGCCTGCCAAAGGGCACGCCGGGCTGTCTGTCCCCTGCACCCGTTTTCTCAGCCTGTGAAACGTCCAACCTTGAAGGCCCGCGTTCTCACCGGCCCTTGGGGAGGGACGCAGGGAGTCCAACCACCAACTGCTGCGAACGCCCCGGGTTTGGGTTTTTTATTTCACTCTGGATGAGAGAGACCACGAGGTGAGAGGCCCAGCGTGTGTCAAAGTGACCAGCCCAGAGTCAAAAGAACAGACTTCCGGAATAAAAACGTGGCCGAGGGACCTTGAGAGGTTTGAGACTGTCCGGGTCTAACACAACTGTTTTTACTGTGATTTACTGGACTAGTCTGAAAGAATGTGAGTTACAAAAACTCGGGGACGTTCCTGGGCATGCGCAGCAGCGCCTCCCCCCCCGCTCCGGCCCCGCTCCCGCGCTGGCTTTCCCGAGCGATTAACTTCTGTTTTGAACCACTCCACATAAATCACAACAGAAAAGCCAACTCCGGCTACCACGGAACATTCGGGGGTACTTCCCAGTCGGGGACTCAAAAGTTAACTTCAAAAGGGAGTTCACATTTTTTTACCTTTCATGGTGTTTCTTTTTTTGTTCCCCTTTCTGTTTTGTTTTTAAACCACACTGACGGCAAGTTTTAGTTGTAACGCTTCCAGAACGCTTCGTGGAAACAATGACAGACTCACTCTTTGCACTTACAACCAAGCCTGTTTGTCACAGTTGGACTCATTCTGACTACACGCCGCTTTTAAGGTGCTCGCCCTCGGTCCTCACTCTTCATCGTGCCCCAAATTCCTCGTGGGAAAACTTTCAGAGGCTGGGAATTTCTTAAAGTCTACCTTGCCAAACCTACCGACACCCCAGGGCGATCTGGGGGCCAAAGTCGCATTCCTTCAATTGTTAAAATACCCCATCCCTAGAGAAGAGTGCCCGGGCCCAGCTGGGAGTGAGTGGGGGCCCCGGAGCCCAACTTTCAAACAAAGGCGCTGCGGCGCCGCGGTCCCGGCCGCCCCAGATCCCGACGAAGCAAAGCGGGGCGAGGGTCCCCCCGACCCGGGCCCACACCCCCGCCCGCGAGAAACAGAAGCCATGCGGCTGTTCCGCGGAACATGGGGTGTCGGTGAGACAATGAAACTTGGAGACGCACAAACAAGGCGGTGAGCCTGCTTCTTGACAACGTGCCAGTAGCGTGGAGAGGCCAGTCTCCCCACAACAGCCCCTCATGCTGTGTCTAGAAGGTAAACAGCAACTGCCGTTTAAGACGCAGCCTCAACAAAGAGAGCCGCCGCGGTTCCAGCCTCAGAGCCCCCGGGCTGAGAAGTCCACCAAGTCACTCTTTCCTCAAGCCCAGCGAGGCCCCGCGAGCACGTTTCCCCAGACCTGGCGGCCACAGTGCGCACAGTCCGCGGAGCCTTACCTTTCTTGCTTTTCATCCTGGAGCTCCCCTTCCAGAGCCAGGCAATACTGTGGTCTCGAGGGGCCAAGGAGTGGGGGCGAAGGGGACAAGCGACTCGGCCAACTCTCCCTTAAGTTCTAGGACAGGCTCCTGCCGTTATTGCTAAACAAGGCGTTCGGATCCCAGGCGCCCGCTTCTTGGGTGGAATTCGAGTGACACTTGGGCTTCCTCCCGCCGGGATCTTCTGGCAGCCAGCCGGGGGCTCTCCCTCGTCCAACTCACTCCCCTCCCTACTCCGCTCCTTTGTTCCCCGCTCCGGTTCGGCGCACCTCGGCGCTGTCAGAGAGTCAAGGAGGGAAGGTACTGGAGGTCCTGCCTCCGCCCCCAGCCGCCCGCCCGGTCCCCCGCCCGCCCCGCCGCCCCTCCCCCGCACCTTCCAGTGGGAGGGCTACACCAAGCGGCGCCTCACTCCACGCCTCCCTGGCCGCTGTCACCCGTTCCTCGTGGGGGCGGCTGAGCCCAGAAACCAGATCCTTTCTCCCCGCTGCGCGCACGCTGCCCGCATCCACGCTTGGCGACACGCCGAACGCCGGGTTTCTCCTTTGGGCCTTTCTTCCCGGGGCTGGCAAGCGTGCGTTCGGTTAGGAAATTGCAAAAGATGGAAAAAAGGCCGCCCCGTCCTTCCCCGCCTCCACCTCAGGGAAGAAAAGGCACCCCTCTCCGTTTTTGACAGCTGCCCCAAACTCCACCGTCCCGGCTCTAGCCGCAGGAGAAGACAGCTGCTTCTGATTCAAGGGGCGGGGCACCGCAGGAAAAGTATTCGGGACAAGAACCAACTTCTTCCAGAATGCGCGGCTGCCATTGACACGCGGGCGCGGCGCGTCGCACCCTTCTCCACCCCGGGCTCTTCCTCCAACAGCGACGGGGGTGGAGGAAGGGAGGATGAGGCACAGACACCCCAGGCGACTGTCTTTTCCCCCGGGCTAAAGCTGCGAGTTCCGGACTGAATTGCAAAGCAGTTTCAAAATCTAACACGTTGCGGACAGACATTTGTCATGCTCACATGCTCTTTAAAAGTCTCTGCCTGGGGACTGCCCGGGCGCGCATCCGCCCCACTGCAACTCGGCCTGACACCCCCACATGAGTACCGGGGTAGCTGGCGCCTTTAAGGGAAGGGGGCGACCACACTGGGGCTGCTCTTCTGTGTCGGTAAACAGTGCCTACTTTTAGGACTTAAACTCTGCCAGGGGACCCCCTTTCCCCTCCAGTATTTCAAACAGAAACTAGCCATTGAGTAAACACATGTTGCTGTTGGTTTATTTTGGTTGGTTGAGAGTTAGGACTCCAGCAGGATTGCCTTGATGAAATTACCCTTTCTAAAAACCAGATGCTGTTTGGCTAATATCAAGAAATGCATGACTTTCCCCGCCCTTTCCTCTGGGTCTAGTTTTTCGTGTGTGTCCCGTTGTTTTGAAGTAAACGAACTGTTGCATGCCACAGTAAGACTTTCCCCGTCACTTAAAAAAAACACCCAAACCGTAAATAAACCTAGTAGAGACGTCAGCGACCGAGTCGGCCTCCAGTTTCGGCTCTGTGCTGTTTTTGTTTTGTAACCTCGACGGAGAGGCCGGCAGAAGCTCCGTGGAAATACGGCTGAACCCAAGGACGACTAAGGGAGCCAAACGGTGACTAACTAGACTTTGGAGCCTCAGTGTTGGGATTGCTCTGAAAATTAAAGACAGCCTCCCCGCCACTCACCCTCCCAAAAAAAGACACCCCCGCCCGGAGAGTTAATTCAGGCCAGAGTTTATAAACCCTGGGTGGTTTTCCCAATTAGGGGGCTTAAAATGAATAAACAAGGAAAACAGCGTCACTCTAAGCAGGCAGCAACCTTAGAATTTTTTTTTTCTTCTGTGGTTTGCCGACTGCTCGGCACCTAAGAGGACACACACTGCAAACGGCAAAGGAGAAACGTGGTCCTGGGGAGAACCACCAGCCTGGAAGCTCCCCCGCAGCTCGCCGGAGCGCAGTTCCTTCCCCCGCCTGGCGGGAGATGAATCAGCGGCTGAGTCCGAGTGCGGGACAGATGTGCGGCCGGGAGGGGCGCCCGTTGGAGCGCCGCTCGGTGCCTGCGTTTGAAGGTTGTTTGTGGCCGGGATTGGTGGCTCGCGTCCGTTGGCGAGCCAGAGGGAGGGTGCGAGGGGAGACTCCGGGAGGAGGAGCCCGCCGGCCGCCGCGGCTCCGCGGCCGGAGCGGCAGGAGCCTCGTCTGGAACCGCGCGGTTACTGGGGAGACGCTTTGTTTGCTAACTTCGAAGGCCGCTTCGGCTGCCTCGGCCGCTTTCGAAGCCGCTCAACAAAACACGCCTTCGGGTCGGCTTAACCCTCCGCCTGCCCGCTTTCAGCGGCTCCGGATGAAAATATTTCCTCCTGCGTGGTTACGCTTGGCCGCGTGGTGGCTCTCATTATGTATACAGAGATTTCTACTTCGTCTTAGTGAACTTGGCTGGTTACAGCGATTCTCGACCCACCGAAATGGAAACCGAGAGTTGAAGCGAGTTTGTGGCTAGAAAACAAACTTTGCAGGGGAGGGGGCAGGGGCGGAGGGAATTAAAGGCTGCTTTCAAATGGCAAGGAGGAAAAAAAAAAGGGCGAACTTTAAACTCTAGCTGGAGGTCCGGCCTGAGCCCGCCAATGCCCAGCTTCTACTCGAGCGAATCGTTTGGAAGCAGTTATCAAAGCTGGCGAGATGCTCTAAAAGGGAACACAGTTCTGCCTGATGGCTCCTCTAGTAGAAACTCCCATCCCCGCGGCTGGACCTAACCTTGTTCACGGCTGCGGCTTGTTCGTGCATTCTGGGAGAAAGTGCCTGTGCCTGGGTTCTGCTTAACACAAACAAGGAGGACAACCCGAAAGAGTGGGCTCGAAAAGCCAGCAGTTGCTTAGACTATTTTTTTGTTTATTTGCTTTTCTCAAGGTGGAAAAACAAGTTTCAGTTCTGGCTCTGTCAGTCCTTTAATGTCCCAGGCAGGGCCTCCCTGTAAGAGAGATCCGATGACTTATGAGAGATTCTTAACAGTGCTAAAAAAATTATATGGATTCACTTTTGCTACGTATTATTTGCTGAATTCGTGTGAATGTCAACTAAATTGAAAAATTGTGTATTAGTGAAATGGTGCTTGGTGCTTAAGAAGGCTGCTGATAAACGTTTCTAACCATTATTTTTGTTTCCCCTCCAGGCACACTTAGTTCCATTTGGGGTTTTATCTTCTGAAGCTGCCTCAAGGCCAAGAAAAGAAACAGTTGTATAAGTAAGTTACTTTTCATCAGCTGCAAACCTTCCAAAGGCAAAAACTCAAAAAGAAACATAAAAGGAAATATGCTAGAAATACATGCAGTATGTATATACACACACATACACATGCTAGGAATATAAAGTGATGGAAGAATGTGTTTGTTTCATTCATCTACCCAGCAACCATTGATTAAGCATGATTTCCATCCCAGCACTGTCTTAGGTGAAGGAATGATGACTCACACAGGCATTGCACCCCTTTTGCTTGTAGTCTCAGGGGGACAGATATTTTTAATAAAATATGCAGACTGCCAGGCTCCAAATACTGCACAGAGCTTCTATAATCAGCTTTTCACATCTCAGGTCAGAGGGTCTTGGGCTGCTTAAGGAGAAGCTGATTATTGTCTTTTCAAGGGCCAGGGGCTGGGCTCCAACCATCTTGTGTGATGGTATCAGCCCCATCAAGATTATTCCCCTCTTGAATAATGTAGCTCCTGCTGCCACTTTCATTTGTAATCACTTTTCTCCCAGCCTGCACTTCTCTTCCCAGTCCTTCTTTTCCCCTTTAGCCAAACCTCATTTTTCTATATCCAGAGGGGGTTTGGAATCAAGGGGACAGAGCAAAAAGATAATTTGTTGAGCATAGCTTTAGTCTCCCTTTAGTCTCAATATCTCGTGTCTGTATTGTGCTGTGCAGCTTATAAAACACTTTAAGTTACCTCATTTAATAATCATCCTATATGGTAGCTATTTTTTTTCTTAGAATCAAGATAACACAGGAAATACACAAAACTAAAAGGCATGAAACCAAGTATTAGACATACATTATTTGGCTTTCAATTAGGTGTTGTCTGTCATTCTTTGACAGAAGGTGGAGGGCAGGGAAGAGCAGAGACCAGCCAGACCAGGGATCCCTGCGAATGGGGGACGTTGCTCCAAGTCTCTCTTCTCTGAAATCTACCTGTAGTTTTACAAGAGGCCTTCTTCCCACCTGCCTGCTGTGTTTTGCCCTCATTTTTTAATTTGAAAGAGAAAAAGGCTGTCCTCAAAAATTCAACCAAGACAGAAGTATTACAAACTGAAATATGAAAGGCCTCTCCATCGCGCATTCCTTCTCCATATGCGCATATGTACTGCATGCTTAAGGTAGGGATTCTTCATGGTTATTTGTCCCTGTCAAGTCAGAGGCCAGGGATGGGGATGGGCCTGCACACTTGTTGCTGGTCTGTTTCTCCCCAGTCAGAATTTGGCCTAAATGCCACTTCAGAGGAGTTTTGACCATCTGACCTAAATTTAGGTACTCCCAGTGCTGCTCAGGGTTTCCCTGCCACAGCCCTCTTACTGGTTGGGGTGGATGGTTCTGTGTTGTGGTGACTGCCCTGTGTATTGTAGGTGTTTAGCAGCACCCCTGGCCGCTAACCAGGGCTTGCAAGTAACACCTCCCTGCCACACTGTGACAAACAAAACGTGACCAGACACTGCCAGATGTCCTCCAGAGGGCATGGAAATGGCAGGGGGAAGTGGAGGGATCACTTCTGTTGAGAACCACAGATCTAACTCAGTCTTTTCTCTATTTTTTCCATAGCACCACAATTTCTAATTATTTTGTTTTGCTTTGACTCCTCTATTAAAACGTATGCTCATTATGACATCTTTGTGCATTTAGCACAGTGCCTCACATCAGAGGTGCCCAGTAAATATTTATCAAGCAAAATAATGCATGAAAATGAGACTCTCAGAATCATTAATAATAAAACATTTATTGTAAATAGCATGCCAGGCAGCCTGCAAATACCTGACATATCTTATTCCTGAAAACAACCCTAAGAAATACTCATTATTATACCCATCTGACAGATGAAGTTGTTCAAGTCTGGGAGAATGAAGTAATTTGTCCTGCCATTCTGACTTCTGGTCAATGATCCAAATAATAATGATATACCGCCATTTGATTTTTTTATTTATGTAAGTTTCCTTGGTTTCTAGTTGCTAAAACTAAGGGCAAAAAGATAGTGATTATATTTGAAATATCTAACAACTGAGAGAACATGGGCAGCATCCAATTCCAAGGACTTCTGATCCTGAACTAGTGTGTCTCAAAAGAATTATCAGCTTGTACCCAGATCTTTGGGGGTTTGTTTGAGTATATTTGCAGGAATCCCTGGAAGGTGGAATAGCTGGGAAAAAGGTGTGTACATTCAAAATTTTCATAGATGTCCAATTGCCTTCCAAATCATCTTACCTATTTAAAATCCTACCAGAGATACATGGAAAACCTCTTATCTCTGCCCATGCTAACAAACACTGCATATCTCAATCAATTTCATATTTGTCAGCCTCCTAGGCAAATAAATGTCCCCTCCTCTTTTTAAGGTTCATATTTGAGAAGGTAAGCACATTTTTGTGTATTTATTAGTCACTTTAATTTCTTCTTTCACCTGTTCATAACTGTGTCAAATATTCTATTGTATTGGTTTTCTCTGTTCTATTTCTCTTCTCTTTTTAAAATAGTCAACAAGAACCAGCCTGCTTTTAATTAGCTCAAAAGATCATTTGATAGAGAACTAAAAACAGTGAATAGTGAGGGAACAGGGTTAGGTGAGCCAATAATGAATGCAGGGAGGTGCCGTGTCCTGATTTTAAAAATATATATATTGTTTGGTTTAAGTACCATATTTGTGTAGCAAGAGTAAGACTTTCAGGATACCATACTGAAAAGTTTTTAATTTCATCTCTCTTCATTCCATCAAAGAGTTAATCCACTCACATGTTTCCATTTATCCATTACCTCTTCCTATAGAGGGCACATTTATAATAGCAATAAAATGATGAAGTATCTAGAAACAAAGTTAACAAGAAGTATGTGCAAGTTTTATGAAGAAAACTTTAAAACTCTACTGAGGGATGTAAAGGAACAGTTAAGTAAAATAAAAGATATAATTTATTCTTTCTAGCAAGATGCAGTAGTGAAAGCATAAAGATGTTTATTTTCCCCAAATCAATCTTTAAATCAAAGGAATTGCCATTAAATGACTAACAGGATTTTTTAAATTGCCATGGTTCTTCAAAATTAAACTGTGTTAATCTGTTTTGTTTTGCAGAATGAATATTTTATTACTAGATTACAAAAAGAAAGTACAAAATAATTTTAAAACAGAACTTATTTCACAATAGCCAAAGAAACTCAAAAAAAGAAGGGTTGAGGATGGGGGAGGGCAGGTGAAGCCCCTCCACATATTAAAGTATATTTTGAAGTTGATAATAACTAAAATGTAACTGATTTGTACTGAGAAAAAAGAGAAAATAAAGAACATTGAGACAAGAATAGAACTCATATGAAGGTTTAGACTTTGGCAAACGTGGCTTTTCAGACGAGGGATAAATTGAATTGGTACTACTGACTACTTTTAATAAAAAATAAAACTATATTTCTATCTCACTCCTTTAACAAAAATAAAACTTAACTGAATCAAAGATTGAAATGTTACAGTAATTAAAAATACACCTATGTGTGTTCTAGAACAGTGGTTCTCCAAGTGGGGAGATGTGTGTGGCAATTTGTCCTCCTGGGGGGCTTTTCACAATGTCTGGAGACATTTTTGGTGATTACAACTGGAGAGCAGGGGATGCTACTGGCATCTAGCGGATAGAGGCCAAGGACGTTGCTAAACATTCTAACAACGCACAGGACAGACCCCAACAAAAAGTATGCTGTCCGAAATGTCCATAGTGCCAAGGTTGAGACATATTCTGGAAGAATCCATGAATCTGATTTGGGAGTGGGGAAGGCCTTTCTGATCAGTACACAAAATCAAAAAACAAAGACAAGAAATAAATGTTTATAAATATTTTGGTTTTTTAAGAAATTATATTTGAAGAAAAGTTCCGTAAGATTTTTTAAAAGCAAATAAACTAGGAGAAAAAAATCTTGTAGCATATGACAGGCGTTAAGACTGATTTAATTAATTAATGAAAAGCTCATTCAAACCCTAGGAAAGAAGAACTCTGTTTTTAAAAAGTGGGGCAAAGTCTACAGATAGCTTTCAGTTCACCAAGAAGAGGAATATAAATAAACAAAAATATGAAAACTTTATTTTTCAGTCATTACAATAAAATAAATCAGAGCTAATATAGAAAGATTAATTTTACATGTTGATAAGTTTTTAGAACTACAGTATTATAAAAATTTTTATGTCTATGTTTTTTGGAATGATATTCAAGGAAATAGTAACAATGGCTCCCTTTGGAGGGAAAAAGGGGGAAGGGAATGGGATGCATGATAAGGAGGATTTTTTTTCATTTTACACTTTTTTGTGTAAGCCTGAGATGGGGGAGTAGGGGCAAGTGCCCAATCTGACTGATGCAGGGGGTTTACATCATTTTATTTTATCTTCTCTTATTCCTTCACACTTTCCTTTCTTTTAGATCTGAGTTTCTGACCTATATTATTTTCCTTCTCTCTTATGAACTTATTTTAACATTTCTGGCAAGGCATATCTACCACCATTTTTAATGACTAAATAATAGTCTGTTCTAATTAGTTGTAATTTAAGTACAAATCCCTATTTATTGGACATTTAGGTTTGTTCTAGTTTGAGTTGGAAAGGATTTTCGAAGATCCTATATAAAAACCTGAGCAGGGATTAAAATAAATTGTATTTGGGGCCTTTAAGTCTGGCTCTGCAGTCTAGGAGCCATGGGTGGTTAATAGTTAGCAAGTGTGAAAACCCCCAATGACTCCCTGGGAGCTCATTATTCATTGCCTTTTACAAAAAATAGTAACAAAGCCTGTCAAACCATTTACATTACTGAATTGGATGACCAAATCTGTAAATTAGAAAGGCTAATCCTGATGCAGGTAATTTCAATAGAAAAATCTGGCCAAGCATTATAACATGTAAAAAATAGGGCGAAATGCTTTTCCCCAGCATAAGTTAATAAATACTATCAGTGTATGGACAGAGTCAGCATATCCCTTGGAAGGTATGGAACATCTAAGTAAAGGCTTTCTCTTCT